CTGCTAAAGCACTGAGCCACCCAGGGATCCCAGTAGTTAAGTTTTTAAGGAATCAAAAGTTATCCAGATTTTCAATGAGCAGGGGTTGACATTCCAACCCCTATGTTGTTCAAGGGTCAACTGTATAACTAGTATGGTTATAGTGAAAAGATATTACATAAAGAAGAACAGGTACTGGCAAAGCAATGAGAAAACAAGGACGTTCTGAAATTTAAAACCAGATAAATGAAAACGTAAGAGATAGAAGATAAAACCCAAAACACTGGCCAAAAAGGAGAGGAGAAATAATTAAAAAAAAAAAAAAAGGATATAAACATGTAATACTAGAGAATTAGCTATGAAGTCCAACATCCAACTAACAGAAGTCTTTTTTTAATTGAAAGGACCCAGAAAAATGGAAGGAAGAGAAATATACCAAGGCATATCATTATGACATTTCAGAATAACAATGATAGAAAAAACTACCAGAAAGCATCTAGGAAGAAAAATCAAGTTACTTACAAGGACAAAGAAACAGAAGGCATTAGAGTTCTTAAAATTAGGCCTAGGAAGCTAGACATCAATGAAGTAATCATTTTTAATGGATGAAAATTATCTACCACCTGAAATTTATTCAAATTATCAACCAACTATAAACGTAGAAGATTTTTCTAGACACTTGATATCAATTTGAACATTTTGAACACCAATGAAAGACATTTTCAGGCAGGCATTAGCTCAAAAAATGATCTTCCATGCATTCTCTCTCAGAAAGCTACCAGAAAATGTGCTCTTGCGTAACAAGATTACTGGGGCACCTGGGTGCCTCAGTCAGTTAAGTGTCTGCCTTCAGCTCAGGTAATGATCACAGGGTCCTGAGATAAGAGCCCCACCTCAGGCTCCATGCTCAGTGGAGAGCCTGCTTCTCCCCCTCCTGCTCCCCCTGCTTGTGTGCACTGTCAAATAAGTAAATAAAATCTTTAAAAAAAAACAAAAAACAAAAAAAACCCCTCAAGACCTCAACACCATAAACTGAGCAAGATGATAACATGAGATCCAGAAAATAGGGTCTACAGCACAGAAAGTGAAGGGCAGGCTGAGGAGAAAGGAGAGCTCTGGGATTGGGTAGGGGAATGGGGCTAGAGGGTAATAACTTGCACATACAATAAAGTAATACTAGGTAAATTAAAAACGCAACTGTTAACTTTAAGAGAAATGAAGAACCACATAAGAAAGGAAGTGCAGTCACATTACTATTTGACAAGCAGGGACTATTTACACAGTTAAAATATAAATCTTGGGGTGCCTGACTCTTGATTTCAGCTCAGCTCATGATCTCAGGGTCAAGCCGCGGGTGGGGCTCTGCACTGATTGTGGAACCTGCTTAAGATTCTCGCTTTCCCTCTGCCCTTCCCCCTATCCTCTAAAAAAAAAAAAAAGAAATGCAAAATATAAATCTTGCCTCTCAAATGAATCAAAAGTTACCATTACTAATGGCGTGCAGGGGAAGGAGCAGGGACTCCACCATGGTTTATAAGTTGCAAAATCAAGAACTAGGTATAAAATTATTTACAAATATGGAAATAAATTACTAGGAGCTGAAGGGAACTACCTTATGTCTTTAGTACTACTAACTTTTGGAACTTTCTTTTGTTAAAAACACTTGAGAAAACACAATCTTAATACAAGAGTCAGGCTAGTATGCGAAAAGTGGATTATAAAGAAATTAGGGGAGAGAAGGGGGCAAAAAACACTAGTTAAGAAATCAATGCAAGCCGAGGACAGTGCTGGACAGACAGGGAGAACCTAGTTCAGATTTCTTAAAGAGATAAAATGAAACTTCCAGATAGAGCTGGTATTTGCAAGGACAAGGGGACGGGATGAAAGGAAAGGGCAAAATCAAAGATGACACCCACATCCTTAGCTGCTGGCAAAATCTGAGACAGGAAGGGAGCAGGGCAGAAAACAGGTAACAGAAATAGAGAATTCTGCTTCAGATGTTTTAAGTCTGAGATGTTTTTTAGATCTCTAAGTGGGGCTATCAAGAAAAAAACGTTTGATGCATGAGCCTTGGGGGCGGGAGAAAAGTGAGAGCTGGAGATGTCAATTTGAGTCATTGGTTACAGTTAATATTTAAATCTCTAGGACTGGACTAAGGTATCATAAGGAGAGAACAGACAGAAAGGAAATACCATTATTATCACAGAAACATAAGAGAAAATAGCATTTATCTCATGGAGTAAGAGCAAGTACTAGTCCATAATATTTTTATCTCAGAAACAGAAAGATGATAGCTAGCTAACTAGACATATCATCAATAAATTGATATATGTAATTTAAATACCCATGAATGTACTGGGAATAATGTATTTCCTACCATAGACTGTGATCCAAAAACGTTTTAAGAAGAAATTCTAGGCGGGGGGGCGGGGGGGGGCCTGCCTGGGTGGCTCAGTTGGTTAAGCTTCCAACTCTTGGTTTCCGCTCAGGTCATGACTTGAGGATCATGGATCATGCCCCATGCTGGGTTCCTCCCTCACCTCGAAGTCCACTTGAGATTCTCTCTCTCCCTCTCCCTCTGCCCTTCCCCCTGTTCTCTCTCAAATAAGTAAATAAAATTTTTTTAAAAAAATTATATATATATATATATATATATATATATATATATATACACACACATATATATATAAAGTCTAAGGGATCAGAAGCCAGGAAAAGACAAACAATTAGGCACTATGGTAGGAAGGACAGTACCAATGTACAGTGTACAAAAGCCAAGAGAATTACTTTATGGAAGCAAGGCTCACCGGTATAGAATGAGTAGGAGACGTAAAATACAATTAGGACTAAGCAACCATGGACTTGGTAATACGGAGGCCGTTTGCTACTGACCTTGACGAGGGCCATTTCAGTGAATGGTGACAGTGGAAAACATTTCAGCATGGATGAGAGGCAAGAAGGGACACAAAACCAGCACACACGAGAGAAAGAAAACCGCCCCAGGAACCTGAAATTTGAAAATGGGCATTTGCTGTGCAAAAGAAAGACAATCAGTTCTAAAATAAAGCAGGCTATGAGTTTCTCGGGGCAGATCCGTATCACAGGTTTCTAATCTCCAACGTGACTGTATTTGGATAGGGCTTTTAGAGAGTCACTACATTTTAATTAAGGTTAAAAGAACTCATAAGGGTGAGGCCCTAATCCAATATGACTGGCATTCTTATTAGAAAAGATTAGGGAACAGGTACAGAGAGGAAAGACCACGTGAGGACACGGGGAGAAGGTGGCACCTACAAACCAAGGGGAGAGGCCTCCGAGGAAATCAACTGTGCTAACACCTTGATCTTGGGCTTTTAGCCTCCAGAACTGTGAGAAGATAAATTTCTGTTGTTTAATGTCTCTGGGTTTTATTATGGCATCCTTGCAAACTATAACAACGCCCAAGAGTCTCAAGTCTAGTTGGGTCCTTCCCTCATCCCCCCCCCAAGCCCCAGGCCCATCCTAGTCAAAACATGAAACCACTCCATCATTAGCCCTCCCAACAAAACAGTGCTTCAATTACTTCTTCATAAAGCTCTTCGTGCTGGACCATTCCAATCAAAATAAGATGTTCTTTTGCTTATCACACCTCACTTCGCATTCCACAATATTTTCTGAAAACAAAGGCGCGGCATTTTTAGAAAAATGAGTACAATCAAAGTTAACTAGCTATTGGGAGCTGAGAGAACAAATATGATATAAGTAGCAATTGGGAATTTTGCTGCCCCAGAGGCAAGTTCGGCAAATACTCTACGCAAGGTTTTGTATGTTCTCTACCTGTCACACACATCCCCACCTCCCAGCAGCTTGCATCTTCAGATGAGAAAAGAAAGCCTTGCTTTCCTCCTTCCTCACGTGCAAACAAATCACAAAGATCTGGTCTTTCCTTCTAGAATCTTAAGCATCTACAATCAGCCCCAAATCCGGACGTCACAAGCAGGAAACCGAGAAAGGGCTTTTCAATTGTTTTACGGTCACAAAAGCAAGGCTGTTAACTCTGGTTCCTTCCCGCCACAAGAAGACAGACAAAAATATAGATTCAAGTACATACATATACATATGAATATGCAATACAATGCACAGGTAAATACAAATCCATAGATATGCATTTGCAGAAGTGCACACGTATCTTCTCCAAACACAGCTGACAGTGCGCATTTAGTACATTCATCACAGAATGAACAAGCCCTATAGCATGTCTTTTTATGTCTGGCCCATGCCTGCCATCGACCTAAACCCACCCTTCGGTACATTGGAATTATGGAAAATTAAAACTCACGGGCACCCAGTTTTCAATACTTCCCCCACCACCACCACCAAAAAAAAAAAAAAAAAAAAAAATCATCACAACTGCTCCGGCCACTCTGCGGAGAGACCCGCAGTTATCAGTTTACAGTTATGTAAAGAAATCAAGACCTGAAAATTGCGCTAATATTACCCTGAGAAGAAAGTTTTACATCCTCTGATCCCAAGAAAGCAAACACACACCAAAAAAAATCACAGCAAACAAAACAGCACCATCATTACAAGACTTGAGAGCTGGGGTGCCCGACCCTGGAAGGCTGGCACAGCAGGTGTTTTTCGGGCTCGGCTCAGCCCCCACAGCTCTGCCCGCAGGTGGTTCAGGCCTCCACGACCTCGCAGCGCTCCAGACCCCAGCTCTGCCCCCCTAGTATCGCCCGATTCGAGGGAGGGAGACGTCTTCGGGTTCATCGGGGTCGGGACCCCCTGGAGAAGGAAAAGGGGGGACCAATCCCTTCTCCTTCGAACACAGGCCAAGGTTAAAGTCCGGGCGCTGGAGCCCGAGCAGCAGAGTGTCTACCTGGTCTACCCGCGGTCGGGATGCCGGGCCCGGCTCCCGCCCCGCGCCCCGCGCGCCCCCCGCCCCCCGGGGCGCGGCTCCCGGCTCAGTCCTCCCGGCGCGGCGGGGCGGGGCGGGGCGGCCGGCGGAGGGTCGGACGGCGCCCGGGCAGCGCACTCACCGCACACCATCAGCAGCAGCACGACCAGCAGCGTGGCCACGAACACCAGCAGGGTCAGCCCCACGTTGTGCCACATCTTGGGCGGAGGACGGCGGGCGGCGGCGCGGGCCGGGCTTGAGCGCCCCCGGGGGGCGGGGCGGGGCGGAGCCGGGCGGGGCGGACCCTCCTTGGCTCCCGGGCCCGCGGGGCGCGCGCGGCGTGGGCGCCCCTACCCGGTCATCGCCCCGGGGAGCCCGAGACCCCGGCGGAGGCCGGCTGCGCTTCCATGGCGGACGCCGCGCGCCCGTGCACGGGACAGAGGGGGCGAGCGCGGGCACGCGCGGCGGCCGCACCGCCCAGGTCGCCGTCCGCCCTCGTGGGCAGCGGGGAGGGGGGGGCTCCCCTCGGCGCGCAGGACCCGCGGCTGACGCCTCCCGGCTCCGGCTCCCGGCTCCCGGCTCCCGCAGCAGCGCGCGACCCCAGTCCCCTCCCCCAGCTGCAGCCCCGCTCGAGCACGCCCACCGCTCTCCTCCTCCGCGGCGCGGGGCCGGCTGGGAGATGGAGTGCGGAGCCCAGTGGAGGCTGTTGGGGGCCGCCTCGCGGGAACTACAACTCCCACAATGCACCGCCGGCTCGGCCGCTGGGCTTCACCCTCCCTCGCTCGCTCCCTCGCTCGCTCTCTCTCTCGCCCCCTCGAGCCCCAACCTCGGGGTACGGATTCTCGGAACTCGCGTCGTCCGCGCCTCTGCTGCGCGCTGCGAAAGCGCCGGAGTGATTGCAACCATCATCCCGCACGTGGAAGTCGTTGTGTTCCAGCGTCGACGAAGCGCGGAGAGGGAAGGAAGGGGAGGCAGCTGCCTGCAAAACTGGCTGCGTGTGACGCTCGCCCTGTGGATGGGGATGCACGTTGGATGCTTGGGCGTTTGAGGAAATACCCACGCCCGTGCCAGAGCCGCGAGCTGGAGGCGCGGAACCTCCCTCTCCAATCCGCCCACCCCCGAGTGTTGGTCTAGGTTTTCCTGAGTACTGTATTCCAGAAAGGGTCCTTGGGTGACTTAAGTGCATCTGCTTAGCCCTTATTTCACCTGAGTCGTGGATGCAATCCAGGGACCCCTTGGAACCAAGCGACACGTGACCCAGAGCTGAAGATTTTGCCGCCCTGGCTTGGACAGGTCACTGCGAAACAAGGCCACTTGATAACCCCAAGTGCTCGAGCTCTACCTGCCACCCAAACTCTTCAGTACTACCAGGTTAGGTCCATTCGTTAAACATGTGTCCCCGGAAGACAGGATAAATCATGTGCACCCACTTTTTAGAAGGTACCATAAATAGCCCTTCCGTTAGTACCTCTCTATCCCCAGCTGGGCCTTGATCCCTCAGCTCCGGGATCACGCCCTGAGCCAAAAGGCAGCCGCTCAACCGCTGAGCCATCCAGGCGTCCCAGTGCCTCTCTATTCTCCTACAAATTCCTTTCCTCTGTTCTGTCTGCAAAATCTGAGCAGAAATCTCTCGTTTTTACAAATGTATCTTGGTCATAACTCAGCTGTCCCACTGCAGATTGTATTCCATAAGTGGCGGTATCATGAACTAATCCTGCATATGAAAATGCAATAAGGGATAATGACTTTGCAGAAGATTTAATACAGGGTTCCTATGAATGAATCTGGCAAACTTAACGGTATATTGATCCCCCAAAAAAATCAATCCTGTTGCATAAATAAGACACATTTTATTAAACCCCAACTGAATAATTGAAAATACCACAACTACTGGGAGAATTTATTTTAAAGCTTTTTATCCTCTCTCCTATTCCCATGTATTGAATAGGTAATAGATGCCAGGGGATACCGCTGGGGATACAGCAGTGAAAGAGACAAAGGTGTTTATGCTCAAGATGCTTATATTGGAAGATTACAGACGACAAGCATAAATAGGGAAACCTCCAACCGCTAATTCCTATAATGAAAGCAAGCTGGACAGTGTGATAAAGATAGGGGTGTTATTTTAGATTGGGGGGAGATCAGAGAAGGCCTGAGTGACATTTAATCTGAGACCTTAGGATCCAGCCCTGAAAATACCTAGAGTAAGAGAGTACTAGGTAACCAGGAGCAGCTAATTCAAAAGCACAAGGAGCAAACAGCCATTCCTCTAGGCCTTGGCAGTATTTCTCAACATTTCAAATCACCTAGGGAGATTTAAAAATTGCAAAGGGTCGGACCAAATGACTCAACCTCTAGGTCAATCCCAAGCATAGTACTTTTTAAAAACTCCCAAATGGGTCAGCCCTGGTGACTCAGCAGTTTAGCGCCACCTTCAGCCCAGGGCATGATCCTGGAGCCGCGGGATCGAGTCCCATGTCAGGCTCCCCTCATGGAGCCTGCTTCTCCCTCTGTCTGTGTCTCTACCTCTTTCTCTCTCTCTGTCTCTCATGAATAAATAAATAAAATCCTTTAAAAAATAAATAAAAACTCCCAAATGATTCTAACGTGCACCCATGGTTAACCATCTTTCTAAAGCAGTGATTCTCCACAAATGGTCTCTGGACCTGTAGCATTAGGATCACCTGGGAACTTGTTGGAAATGAAAATTCTCAGGATCTACCCCAGACCTATTGAATCCAAAACTCTGGGGAGGCATTGAGAAGAGCACTTGATGGGATGAGCACTGGGTGTTATACTCTATTTTGGCAAATCAAACTTCAATAAAAATAAAAAACAAACAAAAAAATCCCCGGGGGAAATCTGGGAGGGGGAATATTGGGTTAGGGTAGTAATCAATGGAATAGTGAAAAGTGACAAGATTTAGGATATGTTTTGGAAGAGGAAGCCAATCAGGATCAGCTGAAAGACTAGAAGTGAAAACAGGTGAGGAAAAGAAATCAAAAATAACTCTCAGGTTTGTAACCTAAGCTTCTAGGTGAATGGCTGTGTCTTATCTTGAAATGGGGAAGACAGTGCAATCATCTCCCTAGAATGCTTTATGAACTTCTGTCTTTACAAACCATCCTTAACTGCCCAGGTCAAGGATGTGGTGACTGTGGTGAAATCCCACAAGCAACCACCAAAGTCTTTTAATTCTCAAAAGTCCAAGGGCTTTTCCACTAAACCATGTTCCCATATGTCTTATCATTTGTTATATTAGCATACATCGTGTTTTCAAAGGTAAATGTAAAAGGATTTTCAAGGATAAGGTCTTAAAGTTACTCTTGGGCCATGGTTATTTCTGGAGTCCTTCTACTTACTGTTCTCCACCCCCTCCTCTCTGACCTTGAGCCTGCTAATCCTTCAATGTCCAATTTCCTTCTCAATAAGACCTCCCGGTTTCCCATTCACTTGTATATCTAGCTCCTCTAAGCCAGTGGTTCTCAGCTGTACCTGTATACTGGAAGCTTTAAAAGCAGGTTCTCAAGTTTCATGCTAGGCATGTGAAAGGTGGGCAGGGGGATATTAACTGTAACTGTTTACTATCCTCTAGGTTTTGATGAACAGTCAGCATTGAGAAGCATTAGTGCAAACTATATTTAGAAATTCATTAGGTACCTATGTTTTGATATTCCTTGGATTGTTTTATTTTGTTACTATTTCATGCATACATATATATTATTTAATATTTCACATATACATCTTCTGATTCTCAGAAGAGAACACTTACTCCTCCCCTGTTCTTTCCTTGCATAAAGGAGGAAGCTCAATTGGTAACATGTCTGGTCTCTCTGTGCTCTTTTATTCCCTATGTCCCTGTTCTGGGAAGGAGTGACTTATCTAATTGGTGCATTTAGGAAAAATAATGTGGGTTTGCTGAGCTTGTCTCCTCCCACATTCCTCTTGGGCGTGAGCTGCCTTAAGCCTCTTGTCTGTGCAGGTCTTCCCTGTAGGGAGGGCCACTCTAATTCAACATTGCCTCAACTCAGGGTTTAATTAGCAGGCCTGACCGGCCCTCACATTATTATATGTTCTCTGACCTAGTCTTTTTTGTTCATAAAGGTGGTGACATTTGGCCTCCATATGTCTCACTCTTTTTTAATTGGGCAACATTATTCATTGTTCCCTTTTAGCAATCCTATACTGCTTTTAAAATAATTAAGGGAAGGGGCCATGCATTCAGCACTTACGTATTACTACATAGTAGGTGAAATGTCGGATTTTGAGTGGTCCAAATATTTGAACTCTAAAGCTTGGCAGTAGGCCTGAATTTTAGTCATTTGAACTCTTAAGTATTGTGGGAAGAATTATGCTAAATGTGGGAGGGATACAAAGTAACTAAGTTAAGACTCCTGCCCTCAAGGAAACCCTAGTCCTAAGGTAAGTGTTTACCAAATACCGCTTTGTGCCAGGCGCTGTGCTTGCCAGTAGCAATACAAAAGAGAGAAAATATGCTCCTTTACGGACAAGAACTCAAACTGGCTCAGGCTTTTTCAATACAACCCTTCTGAGCTTCATGAAATCAATTTAATAAGTCATGATCAGTACCTTAAAAAATAGAATTAAATAAAATAGATGTCACTGTATTACAAGTGCTACAAGGGCAAGCACTATTCATGAAATTTGTTTTAGTTATCTATGTATATGGGTGTGTGTGTGTGTGTGAATTGAATTACAGTGCAAAATATATCCCTACTGTAGGTTATAGTTTTTAAAAACTGGAAGATCTAGAGTCTAGCAGAGGAAGCCAGACATGTATGTAAGTGACTCTATTGAATATTATTGTACCTATAACAGGAATTTTACGGATGGGATCAAGGCTCAGGAAATCTAAAAATTTGGGAGTAGGTAATGGGTAGAACTGACATTCAAACCCAGATCAGTCTGATTTAGAAGAAAATTTTGTTGGACCATAAGAGTGAGGGTGGCATTGGGCAAGTTCGTAGGAAAAGTGGAATATATGGGAACAGACATGAATTCATTAAAGTCTTGAATTAAAGCAAAGTCTTGAATTCATTAAAACGCATGTTGTGAGTATATACAGGGGAAGGCAGGGTCCTTGAAATTCTATGAAAAATAAACAATTCCTTTCAGTTCTAATGAACTTGGAACAGAGGTATAATATGGCAGCTGAGAACTCCTATTCTGTGATTAGACCCTGGGTATGAAATCTGACTTGGTTGAATTAACTCATCTCCCTAAAAATTTAAACCACTACCACATTTGTAAACATTTATGAAATAGTCATAATACCAGTGTCTTCTTTGGAAGATTGTTTCCAGAATTTAATGAAATGTTATAAAGGACTTGCTTAGCATGGTGCCCTGCACTTAAGAGGTCTTCAATAAATTGTAGCTATTAATCTTAATAACCTAATGGGTTCTAATATAATGGAAGGAACTGGATTTCAGGATGAGTCTCATCCAATTCATTTTTATTTAATTTGGAAAACAGTCTGTTAGGGTTTGATCAGAGAAGCAGAACCACCATGACACAGAATAAGAGAATTTACTGTAAGAATGAAAGGCAGCTGGGACGCCTGGGTGGCTCAACCGTTGAGCATCTGCCT